AAAATCAATATATTGTATTTTAAATAAGTAGTCAAACTACATGTAGGGGCACATAAGAGTATGATTTTCCTCACAAGGGCCTATACAAGCCTGGATGAGATTTTAAGTCTCACACACAGTGACACACAGAGGGAGGACACGAGAAGAGGGGGGAAAAGTATGCGAAAAGAGGCAGATTAAGCTGCCTTGTAACAACAGATGGGAGCAGGCTGAGGATAAATATATCTGTGAGCAGATAAAAACGAAGCTTACACCTGTGTGGAGTTAATGTAGCCTGATAGCCTGAACATGTGATCCATGAATGGAGGAGGTAATATCTACAAAGCCCTCATGATTATGGCTAATGTCCGGGGCACATTGGGCCTGTGGGTCAAATTACCCCCAAACCCCTAAAACCCGGATTCTGTTTAATCGTGGCATGTTGTGTTTCAGCTAACCCTCCTGTCACTCTGCATGCTGGTGTGTGTGGCAACACCATATTTTAAACTATGACTTATTTATCCTTCCCCTAGTGCGTTTACAGTTTGTGAAATATCTTATGTCAACGATAATTGACTTCAAAGAGCCTGTGTTATGAGCTGTGATCAGCAATTCAGTGTTTAAAGGCACTTTTGAAAGCAAAAATTCAGCCCTGTATGGACATGTACTGCAGAGTAACAGCAGCCTGCATTACAGGTTGTATGTGCCCCATCATGTTCCCTGACTTATTTCGTTTTATAGTTAAGAGATACACTGACTGTATACTTAAGCATATTTAGAACACGTGCACACATACTTACAGACACACACACTGACGCTCACACACACACACGCGCCCGCGCACACACAGTAACACAGAAAGAATAGGAAATAATTGTATGATTCTGACCGTGGGGTCTCATCCAAGGAAACATAAGAGTGGGAGAGGTGTTTTGATTTAAGTGGCCTTGTCCTTCTCCGGGGTTAGAGCTGCTCGACGATTTACAGTCTGGGTATTGCGCTAGGCTTGCGTCTTGCTGGGTACCATAAAGCGTTTGCCTCGGAAGGGCTTCATATCCATAAAATTTCGTTGCGTCTCCATGGCAAGCCAAAGCGCACGGGTTCTGCTGGTATCCGGGGTTGGAGATCCCGGTGGTCCCGTGGTGGAAAAAGTCCTGCACATGATGGGACGGGTGCTGAAAGCCCGGTGCGGCTGCTCCGGGTCCGTAAACCAGCGTGTGGCTGCGGGCAACGCTTTGTGGAAACCTGCAGTCGTAGTAAGTTGGCTCCAGTGACTCGCCGCCTTTGTACTTAGAAAAAAGAGGGTTAACAAAATAGGAGCTCATGTTTAGTTAGCATCAAGCAGACGGGCTTCTCGCAGTAGAATATCTCCTTTAGGATGATGGCAGCCTTTTGTTTAGGGTCCCAACTCGCACAGCGCGCACAGGCAGACAAACCGGAACTAGGAGAAACGCTGCCCCTTTGGACAATCTACGGCAGCTCACTCTCTCTGAGCCGTTCCTCTCATGGATTTCGCTCGCAGTCGTGAGTGTTTTTTTCAGGTTTGCAGGCTCAAACCCGGCTCATGGCATGTGCTTTAGATGTGTGTTAGCTTGGGTTAAAGCTTGCTTGCTCAAAGCGGCACAGTCACAGTCGCTGCTCTTTTCTTTCTTTTTCCTTTTTTTAGCTTCCCACCGAACCACCCCCACCACAAGCGCCCCCCATCCTCCTCCACCCCCACCCCTTCATCTTCATACGACCGGTCAGACGTGGGCCCTACGTATATCCACCTTGAGAGGAGCTGCACTAATCATAAGCAACAACCCAATAGGCTTTAAATATGATCAATGATATGTTTATCACAAAAAATGCTTTGTTGTAAGATAATCAATGGAGTTATGGAGTGGTTAAAATATGAAGAGACACATGGTAGAACATTTCACAGTCTGACTTGAGCTAGTTGTCTTTGCATGGAGGTTATGAGGTGTTTAAAGCAAGGAAGGTCCCCTCTTTAAAAACGGATAAAGCTGTTATGAGTTGCTGTTTGTCATGTCAGGCCCTAATGATGTTTTACACTAATTTCCAGAAACTAGTTTATATGTTATGGGCACTAGGGGGTCAACATAGCATTTCATGTTCTTGAAACCCAAAATGTTGCATTAAGCACTACACATATAAAGCAAGATGCAATTCTAGCCATCACACAATAGTAAATAATGTATGAGAATAAAACAAACACATCCTTCTCGTGTAATCGAGTAAAGGCTATAGGGCGACACACTTGCACCATGCGCTGTAAAACACCGACACACGCAAATATAAACACGACCTGTGAATACTATGGTGCCACTTACTGACCCCGTAAAAACCGACGAGGATACGCAGTAAATCTCCCACGTGGAGGAGTTCATAAAATTGTACATCGGATGTTTAGCTACAATGAGCACCCGCACAATTCCCAGCTCAATAGTTGTATGGGCTCTCGCTCCAAATATGCCAGTGCGGTTTTTGTGGGGTTACTGACGTTTTATACACATCATCGTAAAATATGAAGGCGCACTGGGTGAATTTATAGACCTTTCACACTCTATAAATATGCAGATTGCCAATCATTGTTGCATACTTCTTGGGGACTTTGAGCTACACACGTCACAACCAACACATATTAGGATATACAAAATAAGCAGTTAGATGTTTTTTTGTGTTTAACAAACAATGCAGAAGACACTTGAATTGTTGTTATTATTTTTGGTATTATGATATTTATTATTGTACATATTCGTATTATTAAGTATTATTATGGTTAACATGTCAGTGTATTATGTAATTGTTTATTTCATTTAGCTGTTTATGCTGTTGTGACTTCTCTCAGTTTTGATTCTTTGGTATTGATGTAACTGATGCAATTTTCATTAAAGTCTTTATATATTTAAATATTTTTTTCTGGCTTTTCATTTAATATTTTATGATGTTATTATGTCAATTATGTATTTATTTTTTCCCCACTAATATTATTTTAATGAATTTCATGACCATTAAATCCTTAAATACAAAATTGAAAAACAAATAAAGACACAGGATACAAACGCATAATGCCAAATTACTAATACTACTACTAAATGCAGATATTATTGACTTTTGTCAAAACTAAAACATGTCGGAGAAAATTGTTGCTATATTAATGGGAACGAAATTCTTACAAGAAAAACTACATTTTCACATCTCCAGTAACTTATGAATTCAAGGACATTAAAGACGTTTCAAAGTCTAAAAAATGGTGCACAATGAAAATGTAGCTCACAAGACAAAGGAAAATAAATAAATGAGAAATAAGTAGAAAATAAAAATCATGTTTATGCAAAAACTCTGTATTTGGAGTACTGCTTTGTGGCCTATTACATATAATGCGGTGAGGGACCATATCTGTCATTTTGTCATCGATAGGTTACTCTTCATTTTTCAGCCAAGCCACAGAGCTGTAAAGAAGCCCTTCAACACACAGATCCTGCTCAAAACATGGACCAACAGCGTCATCTAGTGTTCAGATGTGGGCCTAAACCTGAATGAATCCACCAATCAGAAACTACTGCGATGTGGACCTAAAGGGTCTCCCCATTTATCCAAACCTTGTATATATCACGTTGTTTTCCTTAAATATGGTAGAGTTAAAGAAGCAGTTAACCCGATCTGTAACCAAGTGCCTTCAGTCTGTTTTACAGCAGTATTGAATTCGTTGTTTTGCTTTTTTTGTTTTTTTGTTCGTATCATGGCTGCTCTTCTATAAGAGAGATAGCAGTGCTCTGCAGCACTCATATTTATGCACAATAACTATCGACGTTTCCTCATCTAATTGTAGGCTAATAGACCACTCATGTGATGAAGTGCGGGGGGGGGTTGAGGCAGGCCTATCAGGCAAAAGTCCCCTGAACGGTACGCATGACTCTCCTTTGAAGGAGTCCACCACCAACGTCCATTAAAACCATAAAGTAATTTAGCCCAGACGTCTAGCCAGTTAGTCGAGTTTGCTTTGTTCGTTTGCATTTGAGACAAACAGCCGAGCTCCAACAGGGGCTGTAAAACTGGCATTTTTGTCCGAGCAGAGCGGAAATGCACTGGATTAGGCTTTGAAATTACAGCATCCTGTCCGTATTGTTTGCCACCACAAAAAGGCAATTTAGGCCTATCCCAGGAAACAAATGGGAGACTTGGGAAATTGTCTCTCACTTCGACACTCAAATGTTCAAATTTAGACCCAGATTTTGAGACCGCCATGTGGGCCTGGCGAAAGGATACAACTATAAATCTAACAATATTTTCTAGAAGGTTATTTATGAAGAAATATACTTATTATATACCAACGCGTTCTCTGAAATGGGACTAACGCACACACAGCTTTAAACACAAAGGCATATATGGCATGGAGCAATAAAACAAATCGCACATGCCTGATCCAGAAGGTGTTGTGTACGATTGAAGTAAACTAGTTGTTATGGCTGCAGATTAATTGTGTCTGAAAAAACGTACACAAAACAGCAGAAATTAACTTTTAACTCGTTTTCCCATTAAAAGACCAGACACGGCTATTTGTGCCTTTATTTCGTAGTGGGTGCACTTTTACCTAAATATATGTTCAACTTTAAATGTACGTGGCTGGGGATTAAATAAGGATAATTAAGCCCCAGTTTAAAGCTACATTAAGACAGTGTAGCCTTTTTAAAGCCTCGCTGACAACATATGTTAGACCTCACCATTATTTTCGGTGGCAGATCTCTTATAGGCCTTAGCTGTATTTGGAGCAATGATCGTCGGGCAAAACATGTTAGACGAATAATTGCGATGGCATACTTATTTAGCATACTCTCTGTTTGCAATATCTCGCTTAACCAATTAGTGATTTGGTAATTAGATTTTCTGCAGTTTTTTAATCAGGAACACATTTAAACTGATATTGAATGAGATTCAGTTTGTTCTTAAAAAGGCCCAACCAATATGCGTTTACATGCATGATATCATTAAGTCACAATGAACACAGCATACAACAATTTAGTGATTAAGTTTATATTTGCAGAGGTCTGTATCTACACTCTATAGTTAAACTCGTTAGCTACAATAAAAAAAGAGATGCACAAATACAACAACTATCACAAAATACAAGACAAACAAGTCCGGTCGCAGATGCTCTGTGTCTGTACAAAATACTACACTTGCACAACAAAGTACAAAGGAAATAAACAAGAGAGAAAACATTTACATCATAAATTATGGATTTGTGAAATTCAAAAGAATTCAAGTATTCTCTTTCTTCAGACAGTTGTAACGTGTCTAAACTGCACTAATTTCTCTTACAAAAAACACAAAGGTATTTCGAAGTGAAAGCAAAATGTAATTATCTCTTCAGAAGTTTTTCTTTTCTTTTTTCTTATACGGTGGACATGTAAATGTAAACTGGAAAATAACATAATCAGCATCAAACAGTTTCGAAGATTAAGGTTAATAAAACAATCCAACTATAAATATGAAGAGATTGGGAAGGTTGATTTGGTAAATCTGTGCTGTCCATGTGACTAGTGGTTATTATTGTTGTGTTGTGACTGCAGTCCACATTATTGTTCTTTTCTGTCGTTCCTTTCTTTGTTCATTTTCTTCATCTTCATTCGCCGGTTCTGAAACCAGATTTTGACCTGCCTTTCGGTCAGATTCAGGACCCTAGCGACCTCAAAACGGCGGTCTCTAGTAAGGTACATATTGAACAAAAACTCCTTTTCCAGTTCGAGAGTCTGGTACTTTGTGTAGGGCATCGCTTCTTCCTCGTGGAGCGTGCGTGTATCCAATTTGCCACAGGGTTATCTGCAATTAAAACCATAATATAATATTAATAATAACAAAGACAGAACAACAACGTGGGACATTTAAAACACGTAAGCAATGACTAATGAACACCACATTATGCTGAGCATTTGAAAATGTGCCTCTGCATTTACAGCATTCATGTGGGCTAATTCCAATGTGCAATCATTAAAAACCATGTCAAATCAAACATAGCTTTGATGTTTACCATTGTAGCTTAGCTGATAGTAAACATTTTAAGGAAGTATTCTAGCTTCAGACTATCCAACCTTACACTGATTTGCTTCCTTGTCCCCTTGACTTGTGAGTAACACCGTCGTAAAATACTCAATGCGCTTATTCACTTTATTGGCCCATAAAATGGCCCGTGGTTCAAGCCTTTACAGGTCCGTGGTGAAAGTCCTCCAATATGTCCCTACATTCCTCAAGTTGGCTGGAAGAGTCATGTGAATTAGTTTTGGACCCATAAGAATATGCAACTATATGTAGTCGAGCATCTTATTATCATTATTATGTGGGGGAATAATGCACATCATTACTGGGGATAAAATAGAGCCTAACAGTGTCTTTCACTTAGAAGACGGGCCTTTAATATAAGGACTGAAAGTCATCTTGTAGGGCTGCATGTGCCTTGTGTAATGGCACTGGGTCAAAATATGGTCGTAAAACTGCATCATAAAGCATTTACTGATGAATATTATTTCATATGTCAGTGTATGTCGCTCGCTTAAAGAGAGCACCTTGTATGTTTTTAACATCATGCAATAGCCTTCCAAATTCAACGTCTTCCTGTAGGTTTGAGTCCATGTTTACAACCCCGTCTGGTTTTATAGCCCCAATATTAGCCTAGTAGCGTTTGTCTTTTATAGTTCCTAAAGCTTTCCCCCTAGCAGAGGTTACTCTGGGCTGAGATTAAAAGGGGGGATGAAACAGATTATAATTTTACTTTATGCATGCCGTTAAAATGCTTCACGTCAAAAGCAGATTGACAGATTTTCAAACCAAAACTCCCACCCGGTTGTAAAAGACCGTATGGAGCTTGAACTTACTCGGATCTAGCTCCGGCTTCTCTTCTTTATGTTTCCCTGAAGCCATGAGCTCCGACTCGGGAGAAGGGATACTCTGCAGCGCCTTGTCTCGCATGTCAGTGGATGAGCAGTACAGATAATCCGTGTAGGTACGTCCACTGGAGCCGAGACACTCCGCGGCTCTGTGCTCCTGAAAGGCGTCGGGCTTCAGCCCAAAGTGCCTGCTGTTCCCCGGATAGGCATGGAAAGGCAGGGCGCCTGATATCGGCTCCAGCCATGACCGCATATACCTCGAGTCTGTGCTTAAGTGAGGCTGGTGACTGTATGGATGGTAAACCACTGAGGACTGGGAGTGTACAGGGGTCCATGAGGTGGAGAAGACGGGAGGCTTGGGTGCGAAGCTGCAGGAAGGATAGTCGGCACACTCCGCTACTAGGGACGTCGTGCGAGAGCCGGCTGGGTGAGAACCGGGAGCCGAAAACCGAGCTGCAGCAAGGACATCCTCGTTTTCATGGTTGATCAAGGAGTCCACATAATAATTACTTATGGGACCCGTGGTCGACATGTCGAAGCTTCCCCGACTCTTTTACATGCATCCGATTATTATATGGAGTGTATGTGTACTTTTTTTATCTAGCCATAGAACAATCAAGGCAGGTAATTATTTCTCAACGCTTGTCTGGCTGCGATTGGCTGCCTCACCGACACGTGATTATATTTACCCCCACAAAAATTGTACAGTGGATCAATGCGCCACTTATCCTCGGATCCAATGCACATAAATCGGATTAAAGAATGTGCTCTTTTGCTCTCTCTCGGACGTATTAGAGGTAACTTTAACAACCATGCTTCTTTATAAGGAAATGTACCTCTGTAGAGCTAATAGTGGACCTTTATCTAGTCGCAGCACAGACCTGCGCACATTACGTCTAAACCCGAGCAAGGCACTATTTGATGGTGTAATCAATCTCTGTCTGGTGAAATCCGTAGCCCCGTGTTATTCCAATGGATAGTATTACAACATTAAAGTGTTTATTGAATCGTTTGCGCCTTTTATCTTTATCAAAGCAGCACATTTTATACAGTGAAGGGTTTATAACTTCCGGTGGAATGCTGTGTACTTCTTAATAGAGAGAGAAGGCTTCACAGTAGCTACATATAGACTCGACAGACGGGAGTGGTAATCATAATACGGGATGCAGGATAAACCAACAATTAAGTTTGCTCCGTTTTAACGAGGACGCAACAGACCAACCATGTTCTAAATGGGATCTGCGGAGATAGGAGAGGAGGGGATTTGGATTCCTGACAAGCAGCCCACTACAGCGGGTTATATTCGGCGAGTGACCGTCCATGTTTTTATGCCTATCAATAAATTTTAACGAGGACCATTTGATTGTTCATAAACGTGTCGTTAAGGTTGCATCCGAGTTCCTCGCTTAACATAAAACCACCACCACGTTATGCATGTGAAACGATTCTTATGAAACAGAGGCCGAAGACAGGAAACAGAAGACTGCAGAGAGCAGAGGAGGTAAAAAGGTTCGTTAAAGGGCTAACTATGAATGTTTTCATAACAGGGATAATGTTACTATTGTATCTAATGGCAGGAATTTACTGTTTTTCCCTGCGATACAGTGTAGCTTGTCAGTCAGTCTGTGAAACATCCAACATTGCAACATGTAACATTGGGTTGCAGCGGCAAGGCAACAAAAGACCAATATAATTTATACTAATGTCACAGGTAATACAAATCAGACTAATTGTGGTTTAATGCACATTTGAATTAAGGATGAGGTCCAAAACAAAATAGTTGATGCATTATAAATACAAAAAGATGCACAAATCATATTTTTGTGACGTGGTGACTTTGGTGAATTTGCACATTTTAAGAAACTGTGATGCTGACGTTCTTGCGGATCTTATCTGGTTTATGTGTGTTTTAGGCCATTTGTTTTTGTGATGTAGCCTATAGATGTGCGTAATTGCCATTAGAGTACCATTAATTGCCATTAGATGTGTTTTTGGATTAGTAGTAGTACAAAAACGGAATTTAATGATTGTAAACTTTAAATTTAGCTAAATATGGAGCTAAATATGAATGTGTAGACCTCCAAAAGTGAAATCAGTAGCTGCCTAACAAACTACAATTCGCTACGTTCACATTAACTGAAACTGAGTGCACTGAGTTCCATAAATAAGAAATGACAGTTAAGTCAGGGACCTAATTTCAAAAATAAACCCTAATTTACGAGTGATAATTACTTGCTTTGTAGGAAAATAAAAACTGTAAAGTCAGGATTTGAAAACAAATCTCCCCTTTGTCATCGCCAAGCTACAAGGGTCACATGACATTACAATTTATTGCAGACTAAATTGAACTTCAGTTCAAATTCATACTTACACATGGAAATTATCATAATACTTAATATTTCGAATCCATTATGCTTAATGGTATCAGTATACGCGTTAGGATGTGCGATGTTTGTCATGGCTGCTGAGTTCAGATTCAACCATGAAATGTAAAAGGCCAGACGCCAGACCTTAACCCGGTTAACACCAAACGGCGTCCTGGTGAGCGTTGATGAATGCGCAAGTCTGCGGCTAGTCCAACATTTCCCCAAATGTTCAAAGAAAAACAGCCGTTCAGTATAAGCAAATCTTACAATCGATTTTTCAAGAGTCCATTTATTCTGCAGCTGCCATAAAAAAAGAACACAAATGTGCATGGTGGCCATTTATTACTATAACATATGGTCATATAAAAACGTTATATAGCTCGTATCTATGTCCAAAGTAATCCATTTAATAATCCTTTGTGTGACTCTGGTGTGTGTGTGTGTGTGTGTGTGTGTGTGTGTGTGTGTGTGTGTGTGTGTGTGTGTGTGTGTGTGTGTGTGTGTGTGTGTGTGTGTGAGAGAGAGAGAGATATATAACAAGTGAGAATGTTTGTTTCTTACAATGTCTTACAACTCTTTTATCCATATGTGATATGTGTTGTGCTACAATAAAAAAATGCATAATTAAATATTCCTTTGTTGTTGGTTCTTATCTCTGATAGGTCTGCCTTTTACTGTTGTTCTCCGTAAATACAAGTGAACTTGCAACATTTCTTCGGCAGTAAAATCTTTTTTGCATCGCTACATTTGTGTATTTAATATCTAAGTATCTAACTTCTTCTTTAACATTTCCCCGACACACCAGCCTTATTTGGCAAACAAAAGCACTGTTCAGACAATTTTGTTTTAAACATTTATAATCCAGTATCAGTTATGTATGAAAATAAATCATGTAAATTGAGAAATAAAGCAACAGTGCTCGTTTAGAATAAGACAAACCATACAAAGTTGGGATGATTTGCATTTAGATGAGGTGTTTGATCGTATAGTCAATGCAAGTCCATTTCTAACATACATTACCAAATCACAAATGTGCCTATAGGCTTTTTTAATCTCAAAAAGTATATGTAGCACTTTGTGTTTTCATATTCACGTATGGCTTCTGGTTTTAATGTACGGGATCAGGGATGAGCTGGATTTGATCAAATGCAAATTCATTCATAAGCTTATAACCAACTAATCAATTGATGCCAATAACAATGCTTGAAACTGGCTCTCATATTACTCAGCTATACCATTCGGTTTTTCTCTTGATATACACACATACACACATTTTAATATAGACAACTCTTCTTGTGCAATATAACGTAAAATATATTAGTATAGGCTACTTATCGCATGATCACAGCTTTACTGAGGTTGACAATGTTTTTTCTGTTTAAACTTAAATTAAGTTATAAAGCTTTTTGCCTATATACATATGGTCGACGCTAACGGGCAAAAACATTTAAAGTAAGACTAAGTCTTTTTGCATGAGCGCCGCCGTAGTGCAGTGGTGTTTGAATTTGGATGTATTGGCAAAAAGTAGTGTTTTAGGACATATGCCGTTAGATCTACATATTAAATATAATTTCGGTTTAATTGCTTATTTCACCTACATCGGTTTATAGGGTGAACATGCAAACAAATATAATTATTGAAAATTGTAGCTTCAATTGAGATGATTAATCTGAAAATAGATTAAACAACAAGTCCCATTCCTCAGACCAGCCCAGTAGCATATGCATGTTCAAATGTGACATTATCACATGCTTCAGATTTCTCTTTGTAGGCCTACTATTATAATCATAAAACAGATAAAGAAACAGCTCGACATGCTGTTAAAGACCAACACACCTGTTAAGGTATCTATCTTCATTGCCATGGGAGTCTGAGCATTGTTTGTTTTCACCTCCGTCCTCACAACACGTTTGTGTGATTGCTGGTTACATGAACAACAAACAAAGAATGTAAGCTCTTAGTTCGTTGCAACATGACTTCAGACACGTGCGGTCATATTTGCTAGCTTGACGACATGCAGGGCGGAGGCGTATTATTTAGCTACTGTCAATAATGAAGATATTAAGTGTAATTTCCTCCGAGAAATAGTCACAGCATTTTCCCATTAAAGCACACAAGAAACAAATAGTCTCTTAAAACAAGCTCACGGTGCAATTTAACCAAATAAATAAATACAAATGTGTGCAGCATTTGGATCATATTATACGCGCTGAAACTCTACATATAAAAAATTCAAAGTCGATATGAAAAGTTATTTATAAAGACCCATGTGCTCAGCAGAACCTTGTAATCCAAACTGAAGCATCAATGTCCTCGATAACCGCTGCATTTAACAGTTTCATCATAACACTGCTCCTAGTTTATTTATTGAGATTGTCCTAAAAAGCAAACCCCTCCCTCTTCAACACATGTGCTGAGAAATAATGCTGATCAATAGGCCTGAAGATATCCTCATGGTGATGACTGCCGCACATTTTGCATTTTGGTCCTAAAGTTTTTCTTAATTAAAGAGGCGAAGTAAGTCAAACCGGCAAGTGATAATAATCCATTGATTTAGAATTTTAAAAAATGGCTAAGTATTGTTTCTGCTGCACAACTGATCGCCAGTTTCAACTAACAATAACTTCCTCATATATCCTAAAATAAAGTTAATAATAATAATGTCAAAATAGAGAAAAAAAAGTAAAGCGGTTAGAATATTTGGCTCATGTCTGATCAGTGACAGTAACACATCTTCAGCTGTCCGGAGGAAGTGGCTGACTAAAGCCTTTAGTTCCTGTGCGCCACTACAAAGTGAAATAAATGGCTTTATGTGTATATGGTTTTAGGGTGAATCTGCGCAGCTCTCGGGGCTGTTTCCAGCGCTGTAAAGTCTTTGTCAGTGATGCATTCCAAGGGAGACCCTCATTCACTGAGCTGAATGAAAGTGACTTTGGATTCCAGACTGTCTCTTCCAGTTGCACTACGGGGAGGGGGGCTGAGAAAACAAGGGGAAATTGTGACCAGGATAAACACTGGACTGCCTTAGGAAAAATGCTGACTGCGACACACAAACAGACCTTTTACGTTTTCTTCCTTTTAAAAATAAACTCATCACTTTCTGAGGACTTTTATTTCACATAATGGCCGATATTAATCCACTCCTGGTTAGTAGGCCTACATCAATTATCTTAATAATCAAATGGAAATATGAGGCGAGGCTTAAATAAAGTTAGGCCTATACTTGTATTGGTTGGTGGCTCACTGACGTGCTATCGATAACAATATATATGTTATTTTCCGTTAATCAATTAAGTTAGTGCTATTGGACTACAATATCAGTGATGCTATTCTAATCAAAAGAAGATAGAAGTATTATTATCTATACACTCCGCCAAAATCTTAAAACTGTTGTTTCTTTATTGATAAGAATCAGGGTAATATAATATATTTAACTAAATACAAAATAAACGCAGCATCAGCCCGATAAAGGTTCGTGCAAAAGCAATATAAAAAGAGAAAGTTTAAATGCAAACATTAAACAAGGTAAAGGACACCTAAAGCATGACACGTCGACTTAAACTGCTTGATGTGCAAAAATAATGTTTGCAGGAATTTTCCTGAAGAGAAATCCAATAGGCCTCAATTATCAAAATGTGACTTCTAATGGGACGATTGTTGCGAGTGTAAGTGTTGTTATGTGTGTTGACATTTGTGAGAAAAAAATACGTTCAAAGTAAAAATTATTTTAAAATAATAAAGTATCAAATATTTTTTAATTGTACACCACCTCACACTGCAACAAAGTGAAACATTTAATTGCACGACATTTTGGAATAAAACATTTAAAGCAGCAGAGTAGCATTAACAGGAACAAGACATGCTCAAACACATACAATGATGGAAATGTCAATACGCATCCATTTCCTGTTGTGGAGTCTAATTAATTTGTCAGATAATTGAAAGAGTCAAATATGTGGCATCTATCTACTGGTATCAACCCATCTCTCTATTCAGATCATCATAAAGCAGCTGAAACCACTAAACCACAGCAGACAGCCAGTGATGACAGATGCAATACAACGCAGTCTAAAACTTTACCCCATGTTGTTTACAACCTATTCTCCTTCTGAGAGCCTCGGAAGGGTTTACAGCCCGCCACAAAATAACAGCAAAGAAAGAAAGCGTCTCTGTCCAAGGTATTGCAGCTCAGTTCATTTACAATGCTATTTGCGGGGACATGGGTGAGGGGTAATTCAGCGGAAATTGTGCCCTTGATGAAGACGAACTGACGTAATCAAGGCAGTTTCTTGTTGCCGAGCCAGGAAGCCAACCCCAACAACATGAAACTACCTAAACCACGCTTCAGCTTCGCGTAAAGGGGTTTAAAATCCATGGAAAGGACAATATGCAAAATCCAAGAGAGGATTAACACTATTCAGCACAAAGAGAAAGGCGAGTACCAACACAATAAAACATAACATGATCCACAAGCGCTAGATATCATACTTTCTAATAACAATTTGTATAGCTCGGCATGCCTTTACTCGTTTGCTCATAAAAACAGCATCAGTTTTAAAGTGTTTTTGTTCTAAACCCATAACTAGCGCAGTAGCAGCACACCACAGCAAGTAATTCGGCAGTTACAAAATATGAGAAAATACAATGTTTTTGTATACCCAGAAACATAAAGCAAAAATATGAATCAACCAGCATTGTAAAAGCAGAATAGAGGAGAGGAGAAGAGAAATAAAACGGAGATCAGCAGCGCTGATTGATCAACAACTTATAAACTATCGACATGTGAAGGCGTGCACCATGCGTGCACAAGAGCTGTCAAGCAAGCTCCCCGTGACAGATGTGGCATACTTTCCAAAACAGGAAACAACAATATTACATCAAATGTGAGTCCTACCTTCACTCGCTTCCTACAGACGCTTTCCCGGTGTGTTTAGTTATCCACGTGTTTGCCGTGATGCCTGTTGTTATTGTTCCTGCAGCCGTCGCGGTCCCTTTTATCCACCATCTTTCTTATCTCCTGCTCCCATGAAGATCCATTATCCTGGGTGGAGGCAGCTGCTTCTTCCAGCCCAGCGCCCCGGCTGGATCCTGCACATTGCAGTCTCTGCTGTGTGAATTAGCCTTCCTCCACACACCTTTACACGCATCTTTACTGCTGCAGCACATTATATTTGCAGATCATAAAATCCACCCCCAACGCTTTCCAGGGCGAACCTGACATTATAATTTTATGACCTTGACTTACTGTGGTCACCTGGATAATATTTAAATCAACGTTATGGTCTCTCTCTTCTATTAAAACTGCCATGATCTACCTTTTCTCATCCGCAGTGTCTCTCCCTCCCTCTCATTTGCACCACTATGCCAGGGGAAGGACAAAGTTGGTAATACCTTTCCATTTCCCCCTCCTTTTATTGTTTTTGAATGGTTTGCCATGAGCTTCATATCGTCTTGTGCATGCACATTACATTGCACGGCTATGCCAGAGCAACAGACGCCAACGAAGAAGCGGCACAAGTGGCTTAACATTCATTATATCTCAGCGAAATAAAACTGCTTAAATGCCAAGAGTTATTTATAGACTGATTGGTATTGCCTCCTCCTTTCGTTTGCTTCATGTTATATTATAATTATCATCGGAAGGTAATTGCACCTCATCGTTCCAACGCTGTTGCAAGTGTTCACTCTGCAGCGAGTTCAAGGTATACGCTGTGGATATGTGAATGTGTGTTCGGTGTATGTTTAGCGTGTAAGTGTGCATATAAATTAGATAGATAGCATATGATAGCCTACTGAATGCATAAGATTACACATGCATGTCTGTATATACCTGTCATGTAAATGCATATGTGTGGGTAGTGTATGTGTGTGAGTGTATGTGTGGTTTAAATGTCCTCAGGAATAGTTAAAAACTGCATTGTGCCCCCTTTCTCGGCTCTCCCTGCTAAGCTTCTTCAGCTTCATGCGTCTGTTTTGGAACCAGATCTTGACCTGTCTGTCGGTCAGGTTGATACTCCGGCTGATCTCCAGGCGGCGCTCCCGAGACAGATACATGTTGAACAAGAACTCCTTCTCCAGCTCCAGCGTCTGGTGCTTTGTGTAGGGGCAGCGCTTCTTCCTTCCACTTTTGGCTTTTAACCAGCTTCCCGGTGTCTTTTCCGCGGATAAATCATCTACCGGAGCAAAAAAAAAGACAACGATGAACAAATGTGGCCAAATCCGGAGAGTAATTTTGTGCAGAAATCATGCAGCCTCCATGAGTACGCTAGATGCTATGTCCACGCCCATATCTCACATGCCCATTCACTAACGTTGATCTGGATCAAAATAGTTTAGAAGACCAGACTAACCAGTGTGGACCCTCCGACACTCTCCCTTGAACAAATGAACAACGTCGAACATCCCAGCTTTTGCTTCAACTCCTACTGCTTTCAAATTGCCTTTGTGTGATGTACAGCTATAATTAGATCAAATCAAGCTAGGGTGTGTAAGCACTTCTTTTGTCTGTGTTGGACCTCAGACTCCCATAAAATGTTATTACCTTTGCACGCCGGAGTCAATTTTTTTTTTGGAGGTTCATCCCAAACAAAACAAAGTCTCTGTAGCATAATATCAGATTGAGCAAAACAGTTATGTCGGTATTAGCAGGTAATTTCTTGATTAGGTTGCAGGCTCAAGGGAATAACGCCCCTTTTGCGTACACAAGCAGAGGCGTACACACAGAAACAGAAACAGAAACACACACACACAATGCAGGTTGCAGTAATAATTATACTAATGTGAAAACTCAGTGTGTGGCCCAAACATAATCATTAACAAACATTTAATTCGGTAATATAACACACGCACGCACGCACACACGCACGCACGCACACACGCACGCACGCACACACACACACACACACACACACACACACACACACACACACACACACACACACACAGATCCTATTGCATGCATGTCTTTTTCGCAAATTACACATGAAATTGGAACTCATTTTTAAAAAGAGTTAAAGAAAGGTAGCAGAAGGGTGAACTTATTTCATAGCATAGATTACTAGCATCCATTATAAGGGCAGTCTAATGGCAACAATTATTCTAACGGTTAAATGTGTGTGTGAGGTGTGTGTGGGTTTTAATTATTATCAACCAATCGTTGCAGTTTACTAAAAAAAACTATTTAAAAAAGTTAATAAAGTTATTATTGCTAAAGTACATATTCGTAATTTTTTCAAATGGAAGAAGACAAATGTGCCCGAATCTTATTGAGCCGCTGTTAGCATGAAGGAAATGATCATGAAAGAAAATGTCTCAGACGTGGACAATTATGTTTTAAAAATGGGACTGATTTATCGTTAATTATCCGTACAGCGAATTACAAATGTATTTCTGATGAATAAAATAAGGGAGAATTGTTCTCTGCGGTTTTAAAAAAAACAAGGTCATTTTTACAAAGATTTTTTTCTGATGGAGTTAAGCTGTATAGTTTTACGTTAGCTAAATACCACAATTTTGATGGGTAAAATTGGAAATGTTAAAATAGTTAAGTTTCACAATGTAATTGGCCAATGTAACAGAAACAAATAATGTGATAACGTGTGTGCGTGCGTGTGAGCGTGTTTATTTCGACGATAACTGCGCATCTCACATTCTCAAATGAAAGGAAAGGTGTTAAATGCCACGGGAACCATAACCCCTGCCAAGCAGGCCTGTCAAATGCCCATACAGCCAATATGACTGATTTTAAACACAAGTCTGCATGGTCATGACACAACACAGCATGCACAGCACTGATACAATTAATGCAAGTGTGAAAATTGTTTTTGGACGTTTTGTATGTGTGTGAGAGTGTACGTAAGGTAGGAGGAAGAGGAGGGGGTAAAGTCGTCTACCTTTTAATTCCCCGTCCGAGTTATCTGAGCAGCTGTCACTCTTGGTCTTCTCTTCCTTCCTGCTCTGACTCTCATCTGTGTTTAAAACCTCTCTCGCTGTATCCTGCGCCGATTTACTGCAATTTAGTGTCGATTCTGAGTCAACAGATGTCGCCAAGTGGGTAAGAGAGAAGCCGGAGAACTGCTGCTCGTCTTGCTGCGGCCTCTCTCCGTTGAACACCTGGAAACAGCCACTGGACGAGGCGGTTTGCTCAGGCCGGGAGCTATTGTCTCCGAGCCGGATGTAAGTGGCCGAGTCTGTTGTCTCTTTGGCCTTATTGCTGTCATCCTGATAGAGGCAACAACACGCCTCCTCTTTGACGTTGCCCGCTGGAAACAAGCAGGGTTGTAAACACTGGGCAACAGGTTGTTCGTCCCTACTGGTTTTTGAGCCTGGGGTCCATGTGGCCAGCTGTGTTGACAGGTAGGACGCATCCTGGAAGCCGCTGAGCGACACACCGCCCGGAGGAACCTCGTCTCTTTTGGGGAGTGAAGATGGTCCAACCTTCCCAATGTTTCTCATCACTGAATATCCGTACTCTGCAGCTGTGTGGATGTACATCCCGGGGTTGCTGGAATAACCCTCACCTCTGAAGGAAGATGATCCTCCCATTAAGGAATCCATCAGGAAGTTACCGGGAGCTATGTTATTCGGACATGACATTTTTGCATTTGGCAACACGGTATCGTTAAGTGTGTTCCACTGAGTCTGAACTACGGGATTTCTCCTGGAGAATAAGGACAGTAGGATGCTGACATCTTTTGGAGGGGGGTGCAAAAATATCAGTAAGATAATTATGGATGCTGGGAGACATGTCATGTGAATTCTAGGCCAATAGCGTCGTGGAAGTGGCCTTGATGCTCCAGACTGACGTGACGTCAGCTCGGTCAAGTTGGAGAAGCTGGAGGGTTTTTAATGGAGCAAGAGCGCCACCCAGCGACCAAACGCTGGCCAAGACAGCAGGCCAACACCAGGGGAACAAAGGGCGACTGCTAGGATTTTTCTAAGGCATTTCCTACGTGGCTTTTGCTAACAAAAATATATTCGGTTTAAGTTAATTAAGAACTTATTTTGATTTGAAAGAAAACGTGTCTTTTCTTCACTGCGCTAGCGACGTGGAGAAGCCATCGAGGAGTATTCATTTGAGAGTGCATTTCGTGTCTGTTTTTGTATGTTTTGGTCGATTTGCTCTGTTGTTGACACCGATTTAGAAAGGTAAGTTGCACGCAGGTGTGTTATTAAAACAAATATTAACAGAAATACCAGAAATGCGAAGTACTTTATGAATTTTTAATTGAAAAAAGTCGTTGCAGACTAGGTTTAACCCTTGACATTGTGGAGTAGCTTCTAAATAAAAAAGGTTCGCTTTTGCCTAACCAGTTAAAATAGGATTATATTATCTTTTGAAATGTGTTACTGTCTTCCTTTTTAATATTTACAACAATTGATTTGATTAATTATTACGAAAACCGTTTACTTCGGTCAGGTGTTTTCTTTTGACTTTCGGATTATTTATATTTTATTCATATGACTTTACTACTCCGACAGAATTACACCATAGAATTCGTTAACAAGCAAACATATTAGATCTTGGTAGACCAATTAGTTAACTTTAACTAGACTGGGCTGGGCTTACTCAAGAAGCCGCAAACGGTTGTTAAACTGCTTTTCTTCTTGAAATGAGCAACACAATATTAACTAGACTGTGGAATCTGTGCGCCAGTGGATGAAGGGCCTATAAGGATATTTGTTATTGTGGTGTAAAAGGAAAACCATACAGATCTACGTCAAGAGTAATGCTTCCCTTTTCTTTTTTTTACAGTTCACACAAAATATCTTACAGGCTTATAAATAATTCATTGCATACCTGAGCTATTGTTATATACAATTATGTATTGTTTTCAGGATGTTTTCTCAGTATGTGCTTTCATTTTGGTAAAGATATGAAATGGTGTTTACTGTTTATTTTTGTTATTTTTTTTAATTAGGTTTGTACCAGAACAGCTGGTATGTCGATTAAGTGCGGCTCTCATTTAAATGAATGCGTATTCATGCACTGAGACTTTATTTAAACACGCCCTGTGGATTAGTAGGCCTATCTATTGTACTTCTCCTTAAAACTATTTAGACGTTGCCAACATTACCGTTTGAGTTGTTCTGAATGTGTCCTGTTCAGTTGAATGTTTTTTAAAATAGTTGTCAGTAGCAAAAGGTTAACAAATGTGCTGTGCGGCAGTCAGTGGACGATATTTAAGAGGTAGACTGTTGCGAAATGTGAATACGACGAAATGAGAAAACTATAAACTTATCTCGAATACGCGTATATTGAAACACCTAAACTAAAACTCACGAAATTACAATAACGTGTGTGTAATATTTAATTAATTTGGACAAACATTAAAGGTTTTATTGAATATACCATGGAAGTGTGAATTGTTAATCTTCTTCTGTCAATGTTGCAGGTTAAAACTATGAAGTGCGTGTCTAACCTCCATTATTTTTCTCACCCAGTGTTGTGTTGGCTATCTTTGTTTCGTGTGTGTTGCTTTGTGCCAGGCCTGTTTTCTGTATTGCAATCAGTACGTTTTAAGGACGTCCAAACAAACCCACAGAATTGAACGATAATCACACTGCTGCAAAAACCTCACAGCCTTATAATTGTTGTTTTAGTTTGATAACGTGATACAAATCTCTACCGCACAAATACAACAATGAATGATGATAGAAGCGGACACTGTTGGATTATTTTTCGTATTTGACATAAAAACGACATTTTATAAAACTAATCTCATATCTTGTAGATATTATCTAAAATGTTCCATTTGAAAAAGTCCTCCAAACGGCCATTGAGGCTGCAGTAATGTAACATGTCTAACACGTATACGGTTTTAGGACTGAGTCTCAAAAGCATTTTGGTCTTTAAATAATATATTACTAACAGTTCTCAAGCAAACACTTCCAGACGGATGCAGGCAGATAATGATGGCATGCGTAGCCAGTTTTAAATATGCTGCTGTCCTAGTTGTGTTTTGTTTGCACGCTCGCCTGTCTGTCAGTCCGTCTGTCTGTGTTCAGTTCACAATCATTTCCAAAGGCAAGGGCAGGATAGGCCGAATACAATTAAAATTGTATTTCTTTACATATTTGTTATATATGTGTGTGTAACGTTTCCACATGAAATAAAAGCTGTTTTTGCATGTTGTACTTTAAATGTAATTGAAATAAATAATAAGCAAAAACCGATAAAGAGTGTATTTCATGTTATCTCAATGACCAACATCCTACAGATTTATGAAATAAATAGGGCCATTCATAGCTAAATATGAAAAAGCGTTTTATATAGAGGGATGTATAACTTTGAGTGTGCAGAACATGTTCCTCTTGAACCATTTTAAAACTAAAAATATAACACTATAAAACTGGCGTGTTCCGATGCCTTATATTCCTTACAAATATTATTTGGAGAAGGACGTTTTCCCTCCAAATAACATAAAAATCCTGAAATAAAGGATTATTAAATAATTCTGACATATTTTGTAATCCACAGACGTTCTGATTTGTGTGGGATTAATTAATAAAACACACCCAATATAGTATACAAACTCTTTCACACACAAAATCTGCTTTATGACACATTCACACTTCGACTATAGCACGAAAAAGGCATGCACATAAAACAAATTATATACAACTTTTCAAGAAGCACAGAGCTCGAAATAACAACTATAGGCCTACATTTCAAATGAGACGCAGAGAACATGCCCTGCTATTATAATCCTGCATGGCGGGGCAGGTAAATAGGTATTATTATACCATGCCTGTAATGACGAGTGGGACAGTATTCTTGTTGGAATTTCACACACATGAGAGAATTAGAGAATAAATATGGCGATGTCGCAGTAGAGTGTGTGTTGTGACGGCACAGTTAGTTTAGTTTCAGAATGTCCGTGGCAATTACATAATATTGTGATGTCACTGACCGAACTATTGGCATTGTGAGGCCTCAGACGTAGTAGGCGAGTTTGTTATCAGTATTGCCAGTATAGAATAACTATTATCATGGCACATGCATAATAAAAGAAGGTCTGAGACTGTAACACGCACACGAGATTGTGTATCGGCAATACACAAAGTATTATGACACAGGGTTGAGAATAGCTAACAGTTGCTTAAAAAAACGACTTTGATGTTGTATGCTCAATAGCGGGCAATTCGTGAATATATATTTGAGTAGATTGGGCTTGTTAGCTCTACAGTTGTATATGATGAGTTATAAAAACAACACGGCTCTTCCCAAACTATAGAAAGATTTTGACTGAGCACACAGCTTTTTTCTCCATACAGTTGTACTTCAATCATTGAAACACAAACGCAACCATGTATACCACAAGTCCATTCCTACACAATTCGTAATGTGTTTTCCTTGCAGATGTGGTGTTCAGTAAGCGTTAAGTAAAGTTTAACACACACACACGACTGTATTTTACCACGGTCTTTACACTTGTCTAAACTAGAGCCAACACTTTCGCCACTAAATTGTCGACCAATTGATTGCAAACCTGGAGGCTGTTCTTATATTGCAAACAGGTATGGGTGTTGAATGCTGCAGGGCAGAAGGATGTTGTACTAATCAGGATCCACTGCGACACAACTAATTTGCTCCTGCATGGCAGCCACTTTGAGATATATTTGCAGTTGGACGTGAGGAGGTTTTGCTTTGTGTCCTTTTTCATGCTGCTGTCCACTCCATGCGCAACTGCAAATGTATGGTGCCAGAATCATGTAAGTTCTTAATTAAAACCCAGAGTGGTAACCGCCTTTAAAGTAGAGCATAGCCTACTACATTATTGCCACTGACGACCACACCAGATACACACACCAGCCGCCATATCTGACTTAAAACTTACACAAATTACAGTCACACTAAACTTGGTAGCATCCATAAATAAATAGAAGCGTACACATGCACCAATGTAAATTCAAGCGTTTTGAGTTATTTGGTTGCAGCAATAGCAGGAGCTCGTTTTACAGCGTCGAACTGTTTTATGGCCCTATAGAACAGGATAGGTGCTGAGATGCGAATAGTGTATAAAACCATTCAATAGCCTATAACCCTTTTGATTAGGACGCGTAGAGAAAAATAAAGGAACACCCCTACATTTACAACACAATAACATTTTTTTGAAATTATAACCGATGAATAGTTTCCTCAAATCAACAACAAAGAAATAGAAATGTTACAAAAACGAAAACACTTCACATTTTTGCAGATTCCCCCTATAATCTAACGTCTTTTGTATTTATTTTCGAGGTATTTTTTACATTTTAATATTTATATATGTGTATAGTTTATATTTTGTATGTATATTTAAACATTTGTTTTTTTCTATTGCTATGGAAACAAATTCGTTTTTTATATTCAGTTAGTAGGCCTACACGTTTATAATTCTTAATGTTGCCATACCATTTTTGTTATATTGTAAATTATCTTACACATTTCAATATAAATACACACCTTTCCCTTGACTCAAAAAGCACATATGTTTTGTTTATAGCCTAGTTAAATTCCCAAAAATAAAATAAAGTCTTATTGATAGTTTATAGCATCATATCGAAAACTGAGATTCTTTCAAACTATTCCTCAGATTTTATGGAGCTGAATCAATCAATTTCCCTTTTGCATTTTAATGGCACCAGGCTTCATCTTTCCCTCCTGGCTCGCCTCATCTACATAAAACACACCGCCATTTTCCTTCACCACCACAACAACTAAACAGGAGTGATCTCAGGAGCTGCATTCC